CACAGCTTCCCCGCCCTGCCGCACCTTGTGAATCTGCGCAGGCGTCAGCACATCCTGCGCCGTCAGCGCCCCCAGGTCGAACACCCCCAGCACCTCCACCTGCGGCCGCGCGCGATATTCCGGCAGCCCTTCGGCCATCGCCTTCAGCCCATCGAGAATGAACGCCCACCGCGCCGCCACCATTTCCTCGCGCAGGGCCACAGAGCTGGGCGGGCGCCCCAATGAATCCTCGTGCGTGCTGGTGCTGCAGGGCGCATGCGCAGCCAGCGCCATGACCCTGGCCACCGCTTCCCCGGCATCCTGCAGCACCTTGTAGCCCTCGGCCCGTGCGTGCGCCGTGTAGGCCCGCTCATACGCAGCCGCGTAGGTGTGCGCCTGCCTGCTGGCCTCCGCCGCGAGCGCCTGCAGCTCCTTGGCGCCCTTGGCCTGCGCCACCCGCATTACCTCGGCCATGGCCTGCGCATCGTTCTTGCGGTTGAGCGTGCTGCGTGTGGCTGCATCGCTGCTCTCATACCCGCCGCTGGCAAACGCTGCATGGAATGCATCTGCCGCCGCATCGGCTTCCGCTTCCGCCGCCTTGATCTTGCGGCCCAGCAGCTCCTGCGCGGCCTTGGCCTGGGCGAACCTCGGGCCTGCATCGTTGTCGTAGGCGGTGCGTGCGCGGGCCAGCTCGGCCAGCGCTTCGTGCAGGGCAGCCTGGGCGCTGCGGGCATGTTGTTGAACGTCGAATGTCATGGTCGTTCTCCTTCGGGTTTCAGCAGTCGGCCAGGGCCGTGGGTTTTGATGTGTCGGCGCTATCGGTGATTGGCAGGCCCGCGCAGGCGCCGCTGAACCGGAGGCTCAGCGCTTGGTCTGCGGCCACAAATTCGCCGGTGATGCGGTGCAGTTCAGTGCGCGCGCCCTGGTACTTGGCCAGGGCCGTTTGCAGCTCTGTGCTGGCGGTGTTGAATGCCTTGCGGGCTTCGGTTTCAGTCATGGTTTGCTCCTTGTGGACTGGGGTTAAAAAAACACGCGGGAAGAAAGGGTTGAAGGCGGCACGGCCGCAGGCTGTGGCGGTTCCTCGGGTGCGAGCCACTGCGCAGCGCCGCAGCCCTCCAGATGCCTACGCGCCACCTGCTGCGCGGCTGGGGTCAGCTTTGGAATCAGGGACCGCAGGGCCTCGCGCAACTGCTGCAGCTCGCCCTGCTCCGACTGCATCGCATCGATACGCGCCTGCAGCGCTGCGGCCGTGCGCGTGGCCTTTTCGAGCTGGGC